GGGGGGGTGCAGAAAGGGACACTGGGTTTTTTGTTTTTGTGTCATTGTATACCTCTGTGAACTGCTGAAATGTTTAACTTCCCTGTGCATGAATTTGTATGCTGGGGATGGCGTGGGGTGGGGAGAAGGAGGAAGAACCAGCACCAAGACATCTGCCCATACCCAAATGTTTCCTCACTTCTCACCTACTATATTCAACCTAACAGAGGATGTCAATCAGAGATTTATTCTGATTTCAGAGCTGTGAACACACAAGGAAACATGCCTCACAGAATTAATGTGAAGTGAATCATGACCCATCTCCCAGCTGTGAGAGCCAACCTAGCGTGGGTGTGCAAAGTCCTAAAAGGGCCACGCAGAGTCTCCCTGACCGACTTTAATGCACCAATAACTTGCTGATTCACTTATTCAGTTGCCAGTTAAAATCTCTGGTCACTGGGACCAGGAATTAAGCTGTGAGAGCTTCAGAAGTTAAACACTGGGAGTGTACGTGGATTTCAGACTGCTAAAATCTCTTAGCTGTGGTGTGGTCTGAACTCTCACAGACAAAACACACCATGAATATAAAAATTCTGTTACAATTGTTGTTAATCGTAGAGTACACAAAATAACATTCTAATCACATTTCCCACTTCTGAAATATTTCTGAAACCTGTCAAGTCTGGATGAAAGTAAACTGTGTTTGAAAAGCCACAACGCCTAATATCCATGAAAAAAACTGGTTCATCATCTGCAATGCTTCACAGCTGGAATATCCTCATCGTGTGTGGTGGCGACAGAAGCAGTTTTTTTAAACAGTTTTACTTTCAACTCCACCTCCACCTCCACGTCCTGATCCAAAATGAGGCATCAGAAGCACCTGAGCCTTCTCCCAGAGGTGGGCGGTCCCTTCTAGAGCTGCTGAGTCCAAATGTCCCAGGAATGTGGATTATTTTGCTTGCTTTAAACACCACAGGCAGTCCCAATAAATACTCCCAATCAGGAAGCACTGTGTTCTTCCCATCCTCCACAGCACCCCGGACTACTTTATCTTCATACCACTAACCCTATTCCATGATTATTTCCATTTACTTGCCCCCCCCACCCCACCTCTGAGCTCCTTGGCGGCCAGATTAAAAAATAAACAAACAAACAACAATCTCTTGATTCTGGCGCTCAGTACAGTGTCTGGTCCACAGTACACATTCAACAAAGATTTATTAACAGTGAATAATTAGTAGCTAAAAATGAAGAAAAGAAAATAAAGCAATATGGTTACAGAGAAACTATACAAATGAATTACAAAGAAAGCAAAAGAAGCAAATACATGATGAAGAACAATCAAAACAAAGTTAAAAATACAAGAATATGAAAAATACGTGTTTAGGGGTGAAAGAAAAAATTCACATTAATATTCCTCTGCATTTTGAGTGCTTCTGAAAGGTATCTTGTGACTAATAAATGGGATATTATGTACTCTTCTAGAGCAACAGATTTACAGGTGTAAAGAAAAAGGGGGAAATACAAACTTCCCCTCCAGTCCTTCCTTCCTCCCCCCGTCACTACACTGGAAGCCTCCCCACACACAGGGGAGAGGCAAGCTGCCTTCGCAGTCCCTCTTTTCTTACACTTTCACAGCAATAGAAAATACAGATAAAGCCTTCATGGATAGATTCTGAATAACCCAAACGGTGGCCACAGAATTTACTAGATACAGTGGTCTCTGGTTTGATTTGGGGAGTGAGGGGAGATGTAGGCAGGTGATCTTCAAATAAGCAACATCTTTCTTTTTGGAAAATCTCACTCCCTTCTCCTCATTAAGAGTACAAGGACCATTTCATGGGCATTAATGAACACAGAAAAGTGTTGCCTAAAACAATACCTTGTATTTTCTCCCCTTCCTCAACTGAACAAGAGCACTTGCACACCTTTCTTCCCCAGAGATGACAAATCTGGAGCACTTTTAAAAGCAGAGACAAATCTAAGTAACCCCCCCCCACATACAACACTGCTTCTACCAGAGGGGTTTTGGGTTTTTTCTTCATGTCATAATGTAGAATTAAAAATATATAAAATATTCATGTGGTTTGAAATTTAAAAGGCACAGGAAGTAATCAATGAAAAGCACCCTTCCTTTCCTGCCTTAATTCCCTACCCAGAAGCAAATCTTTAAAATCTGTCTTATGCATATATAATTAAGCAACTCAATACATGT